GACAAAGCCTAGCTGAAGTCAACTGAACTGGCCAAGTCACTTTATCTGTATTATTGTTCGTTGCCTCTTTTAAGGTTGAGGCTCTCTGGGATTAATGTGATACACAGAGCTTTATATTTGTCAACTTTCATGTGTCTGTCCACATGCATCTTTCCCACATCTCCTTATCTCAATCTCCTCATCTTTTATAGAGTTTATCTCTCATTTTCTGGCGAGCTTGTATCTCACCAATGTATGTGCTACTTTCTGCTCACTTGATTCAGTTAACATGGTGTCATTTAGACCGTGGATCAACAGGAATTCCTTTGCGTTGTCCAGATGGTCCAGATCCTTTGGAACTATATTAAGACCAAGGGTAGGAAAATTAATATAGTCATGGTTCAGGCACATAAATGTATGCTGCTGTTGGTTGCAATGTGACTGTCAAGTGCCTTTTGGTCCTCCTTGTTAATAGGGGTAGAAAAATACGCTTTACCAGGTCAGTGATTGCATACCACTTACCTGAGAGAGACCAGTAATCCTGTCTTTATGTGCTGCCAAAGAGATCCCCTGGCTTTCACACTATAGTCTTTAGTTGGTGATTTATCACTTTCAGTCTTTCATTGTTTTTTCTCCATTGCATTGACTGCTCCTAGCAACAGCTATTCAGTTCCTAGTCCTTTTAATTACTTCTCTGTACTTCACAAATGCCTGAAGTATCGCACCTGCCATGCCTTCTCTTTCACCAACAAAGTTTTAGCAATTATGATTGCACTGCTACAGCACGTTAGAGACTATGTACCACCAGCAATGGGTTCCTCTTTGCTAGCCAGTCAGTGGTTTATATAGCTTCAAAATCCCATTTAGGAGTTGACTTCATAAGACCACTTTTGGTGTCAACTCTCCTAGGTCAGGTTCCCCAAAAACACATTTTAAAATCTCAGGATTTGCATGTAGGAAGTTTACTGGGGAGTGCTTCTGGGATCAACTGCTATGAGAGAGGATACAAGGAAAATAGCATTAGGAAGATGGAGAAATTGAATCGGTATATAGTTGCAACAGCAGCAGCTGATCCCACAGGGAGATCTAAAGCTGAAATAACCCAAGATATTCCAGATTGAAGCACAGGGCTAGACCATTTTACTGCACATTGACCAGTTGTTGAATTTGCACTACTTTGGGATGGTAGCATGACCTTGGGTGAGGCAGTTGCAACTCAGTGTACAACTCAGGGAAATTCCTGAGAGTTCAGCTATTAGCCATTCATCAGGCAAAATCCTGGAAGCTGAAAGAATGAATCCTTCAGTTCTGAAGGGGGAGTTCTGGCTGATACACCACAGCATTCACTATAGCCACAATGGCAAGATCAGTCTTAGTGGTGTGGTGAAGATAGAAAGAATCCTATAGTGCTAGAGATTTAAAGGAGATGCGGAGGATTGAAAACTTGTTCAAACAGCTTAGCTGTGAAGGGGAGGACAGAAAGAGGATAGTCAGTAGAAGTTCCTGAGGAGACTGGGAGGGATGGGGTCCAGGATATAGGTAGTATGATTTGCCTGGGGCAGGAAGAAATTCATTGCTACCATTGTAATTGAAGAAGAGAAGGAAGAGAGGAGTTCAGGAATAGATAAGTTCATAACATTAACCAGAGGAAGTTAAAGCAGTTCTTATTTGTTTCTTCTGGGAAAGAGCCAGAAGATTCAACAGTTGAAAGAGGGAGAGTTGGTTGGGTTGAAGGTGTAAGGTAAGTAGAGAAGATTTTAATAGATTGCAGTGAGAGTGGGAAGAGAAAGCTAACAGAATAGCCAGTGGGTGCTTTGGGCCCATTTTAGGTTGATGTTCCTGACTTTGTAGAATTATAAATTTGTGCAGTTGTCTAACATTTTTTTCTGGCAGTTCTTAATATAGTAAAAGTATAGACATTATGCTCAGTGTCTTATCAGATAATTTTCTTTTTCTTTTCGTATAGCCATCAAATCAAGTCACTACAGTATAGTAACACAGGAGACATGATTCTTGTTGTATCTGGAAGCTCTCAGGCCAAGGTGATTGACAGAGATGGTTTTGAAGTAATGGAATGTATAAAAGGAGACCAGTATATTGTGGACATGGCCAACACCAAGGTATGATTAAACAGAACACTTTAATGAATTTAATTAATGCAGCACACTTTATTAACAACTTTTGTTTGGTTTGCCATGTAATAATTTACCCTAAAAGTTAGTGTCTTAAAACAGTAACAATTTATTATTTCTCATAATTGTATGGATAGATGGGAAGGTTATTCTGCTTCATATAGTATTAGCCAGGTCACTAGGATGGCTGTAGGATCCAAAATGGGCTCAGACAGTTTATAGTTGGTGTTCTACCCCATGTCATCTCTCTCTCTCTCTTTGCTTCTTCCCCACTTCCAACTTCCACCCAGCTCCTTTTGCTCTTTTTCTCATTCTTTCTCTCTTGCCACATGTCTAGTTTGGGCCTTTTCACTGGATAGTGGTCTTAGTGGGATTTGACTTCTTGCTTGATTGCTAGGTTCCGTAGAGGACAGACATGGAAACTGTAGATATCTTAACATCTGCTTCAGCATCATAGGGCCAGCCCACATTTGGGGAGGGGGAGGTAGACTCCACCATTTGATGGGTGAATGTCAAGTTCAAACTATAAAAGATCATGTGGGATGGGAGATATTGATGCAACCATCTTTGGAAACACAATCTACGCAGCTACTATGTGCTAGGCTTTAGGACAAGAAGGAAAGAGAGAGCCAGGTGCAGTGGTATGCACCTGTAGTCCCAGCTACTTGAGGG